CTTGAAGACAGCCTCAAGATAAGAGCCCTAGACTAACTCCTCTGGAGTTTTCATGTGAGAAAAATAAACTTCTTTAGATTCCTTTTTCCTTTAAGTTTTTTGTTCTTGGAGCTAAGTGTGTTCATAACAGTCATAGCGGTTGAGAACATTGTGGAGTCGGAAAGATGAAGGTAGGTTCCTATCTCTTCCTCAGTGGTTAAGTCACTTAACTCCCAAACCTGCTTTCTCATCTGTGAAATGAAGGTAACTATAGCACCTACCTCAGGGAAGGACTTAGCATGTAAAACCACCAGCACAAAGTGTTCCATTTGAACTTAATGTTATTATTAGAAATTAAATAATGGATAGCAAGAATTGACCTTTAAAAATTTTTTAAAACCTTAGCCTAGTTTCTGCATGTGCTCACATGTGGTCTTTGCTAAAACGGTACCTCATTATCCCACTGTAGTTCCTAATGTTGGGTCTAGTGATCTGCAACCATGTACAGCGCTCCTTGCTTTAATGATGCCTTTCTCTTGATTTATGAGGATTTTGGAACAGACTTTTATGAGTATGAACATTTTCTAATCAAGGCCAACTCCAACACTTTTTTTAAAAAGTTCATGTGAAGATATGTTTTCTATTGATTTTAGAGAGAAAGGAAGGGAGAGAAACATCAATGTGAGGAACATCAACTGGTTGCTTCCTGTACATGCCCCGAACCCACAACTTGGGTATGTGCCCTGACGGGGAATCAAACCCACAACATTTTCATGTGCAGGACAACACTCCAACCAAGCCACCTGCCAGGGCTCCAACACTTTTTCTTTGTTAATCCTCACATGAGGATATTTTTTCCGTTGATTTTTAGAGAGAAGGGAGGAAGGGAGAGAAACATTGATATAAGAGAGACACATTGATTGATTGTCTCCTGCTCAGGCCCTGACTGGGGCCAGGGATCAAACCTGCAACCCAGGTACGTGCCCTTGACCAGGAGTCAAACCCGTGATCCTTCAGTGTGTGGGTGGACACTGTAACCACTGAGCAACACCAGCCAAGGTTCAAAATAAGTTTTAAAGAAGCTCCATGATCTACATGAGAAACCGTTTTTCTAAGTGAAACCATGCAAATAAAACATGAACAAAACAAGAATATTAACAAGGAGATAGAAACTATAAAAAAAGAACCAAACAGAAATTCTGGAGCTGAGAAGATTGAAAAATACACTAGAGGGGCTCAACAGCTAAAGAATCAAAAAAATTGATCAAGCTGTGGAAGAATCAACAAAGTTGAAGACAGGTCATTGGAAGTTATCCAGTCAGAGAAGCAAAAAAGAAAAAAAAGTGAAGAGCTAAAGGCACTTACGAGATATCAGCAAGTGGACCAGTATATACACAATGGTACTGGCAGTAGATAATGGTAAAAACTTCCCAAATCTGAGGAAGGCAATGAACATCCAAATTCAAGAGTCAAGCACCATTCTACTAGACTGGATACCTGATGACTGACTATATTTTTAATGGCCTCCAGGTAGCTTTATTACCCAGGTGTGCTTACCTACTAATTTGCATTATTTTTATTCAGTAGAGGAGCAGATATTGCAAAGAATCTGTTATAGTATCTTGTTTGGGTAAGTGTGGAAAGGAGAAACAACACTCCCAGGGTACAGACCTGGGGGAGAGGAGAGGATTTGAGGGACAATTTCTCCTTAGCCCCAGAAATTGCTATGATAGTATGTTAAGGAAAAATATGCAATACATTGACTAAAAATGACAGCTATGATGTACTTCATAATTTCTTTCCTGGAAATGAATCTTACCGAAAAGGCCAAGAATGCCTCGAAATGACTAACTCTGTTCTGAACTTCATGTAACTTATTGTTTTGTGCTTTTCCAGTCATGTGATACAAAATATCGGATACTAGAATGCATTCAGTATATTCATTCCCTTAGCCCAGTGGTCGGCAAACTCATTAGTCAACAGAGCCAAATATCAACAGTACAACGATTGAAATTTCTTTTGAGAGCCAAATTTTTTAAACTTAAACTATATAGGTAGGTACATTCAACTTTTAATTCATGGTTTTCGTCTTCCGTTTTTCTTTGCTTCTTCTTTGTAGCCATCTCAAACAGGGCACCTAAAAAAATGTTTCATTTTATAATACTAAAGCCACAACACAAAAGAATTACAATTCTTAAATTGATGACAAAAATACCTGTAGGATTTGCAGCTGGTTGGAAAAAATACAGGTAACTTTATGCTTTGAGTAGGTACTTTTGCCACCCGCGCGCGATTTGTGGACGCGACTAGCACTAACCACTGCACATGAGACTGCTGACTGACTGGCTCACTCAACTCATGCATAGACTCACCCAGGCCGAAAACTGACTTCTGCGCAGGGGCCACGAAGTTTCAATCGCAGTGTACGCGCGCGCCCGCACGTGGTATTTTGTGGAAGAGCCACACTCAAGGGGCCAAAGAGCCGCATGTGGCTAGCGAGCCTCGGTTTGCCGACCACTGCCTAATCTGATAATCCATTGCTGTTTACCAAACCTTACCTTTGATATGTGTGTCTGCTTTGCTAAAGGTCAAAATGTGTAAATAAAAAGCCATGGGTCCGGACATTCAGAGAGCCACTCCACTAGAGATCTGGTTTCTGCCTGGCTTTCCCCCATGCCTTCCAAATTTATATTTCTTCTCTAGTCTCTATCCATTTATGTGTATCCCTTCTCCAGATTCCTGAACCCTTGCTGCGGAAATACTGCGGTAAAAACAAATATTATTTAGTAAAAAATAATTAATCTTGAATGATATTGCTTGATTTAAAAAAGGAAATACAAAAATAAATGAACGTGACAATATCAAACTAAAAAGCTTCTGCACAGCAATAGAAACAGACAACAAAACAAAAAAGCAGCCAACCAGATGGGAGGTGATATTAAACCTCTGACAAAGGTTTAATTTTCAAAATATATAAAGAACTCATAAAACTCAACAACAACCAACCCAATAAAAAAGTGGACAGAAGACCTGAAAATACACCTCTTTCAAGAAGATAGCCAATAGTTCAACCTCACTAGCAATTAGGGAAATGCAAATCAAAACTACAATGAGATACCACTTCACATCTGTTAGAGTGGCTGTTATCAACAAGACAAGTAATAACAAGTGTTGGAGAGGTTGTGGAAAAAAGGCAACCCTCATCCACTGCTGGTGGGAATGCAAACTGGTACAAACCATTATGGAAAGCAGTCTGGTGATTCCTCAAAAACTTAAGACTGGAGCTACCATACCACCTAGCAATCCTCTCCTGGGTATACTAGTATCCCCGAAAAACTTGAAAACATGTATTGGCAAAGATATATACACCCCTATGTTCATTGCAGCATTATTCATGGTGACCAAGATGTGGAAACAACCAAAGTGTCCTGCAATATAGGACTGGATAAAGAAGATGTGGCACATATACACAATGGAATACTATTCAGCCATAAGAAAGGATGACATACTGCCATTTGCAACAATATGAATGGACCTTGAGAATATTATGCTAAGTGAAATAAGTCAGTCAGAAAAAGCTAGGAACCATATGATTTCACTCATGTGGGATATAAAACAAACTTGTGAACACAAACAGCAGTGTGGTGGTTGTCAGAAGGAAGGGGGTGGGGTTAAGGGGTACTAATGTATGGTAAGGGGAGTGGGTAGTGGGCACACAGTGCAATATACAGACCTTGTAACATAGAAACCCACACCTGAAACCTATATGATCAATGTTACCCCAATAAATTTTTAAATAAATAAATAGATGGCCAAATATAAACCCATCTCTCATCTGAAGTTTCTCAGACAACTCTTTAATTAAGTTCATCTCTCTCTTCATAGAGCTCTGTTTCTTACTCCAACAAGGAGCCTTTTAGTGGAGCTGTTTATGTGTGTCTGCTATGCATTTAATCACGAGTTCCAGAAGATGAAAATTATGTCTTATTAATTTTTGTGTCCCCAACAGTGCATTCCTCATAGTAGTTATTCAGTAAATCTTTTTTTTTTTTTTTTGTAAGGAGAGGTTTATTGATTGAGAAGGTGCCAACAAAGAGGGAGATCTAAGGGTGCCTCAAATCCATCTTGCTCGCTGGACTAGGTTAAGGGACTTTAAGGAGTTAGAGGGAACAGGTATGCAGAAGTGCTGGTGGGGCAAGTTTTAATTGGTGGATCTTAGGACTTGGCCATTTATAGTCAGGGGCACCAACTCTGGATCTTCCTGGACAATAGACCCTTGGGTTCGGGTGCTTACTGTATGAGTTGGGGGGGGAGGGGGGGCTTTGGTTTCAAAAGATTCCAGCAGTTGTGTTGTCCTTGTTTTTGTAAACTGGCAGACCACGTTTAATTTTGAGAAACCAAGCGCTTGAACGTCTTCATTCATAACTTGTTTTTTATGACCAGGTTATCAATTTCCCCCTTCTCAGTGGGAAAGGGGGTTTGTGACACCTAACTGGCAGGAGGTGCAGAGGACAAACATTGACATTCTTGGCAATTTGGCTTCTCTCCTCCTTGGCCTCCTCCCTTCTGCTTCCCACTTCCTCCTCCCAGTGGTTCTCAACCTTCCTAATGCCGCGACCCTTTAATACAGTTCCTCATGTTGTGGTGACCCCCAACCATAAAATTATTTTCGTTGCTACTTCATAACTGTAATTTTGCCACTGTTATGAATTGTAATGTAAATATCTGATATGCAGGATGTATTTTCAGGGGTCGCGACCCATAGGTTGAGAATCACTGCTCCACGCCCTGGGCACGGGCCACTTTCTTTGCAGTATTTGCTATCAACAGTTTCCATTCAGTTTGCTGGCTTTCCTAGTTTTTTCCAGCTTGAAATAACACCCGAAACACACCTGTAGGAGATTTGGGTCCCATTCAGTGATGGTCCGGAAAACCTGGGCAGCCGGGTTTTCTTATCTACTGCACTCCCAGCACCGGATTCTCATGCTCAGTCTTAAAGTCAGATCACGTCTCTCAGAAGCATGAACGGCAGGGAAGTGAGTACCCACAGGCTTTTGGCCGCCCTGGTTCTCATCAGCGCTAGCAAGGCAGCAAGCAGTGCGGGGATACTGTCCGGAAGGCGCTGTCAGCTTGGCGAAGGCTTGCGCCAGCCTGGCGTTTTTCGGCAGCTCTCAGTGCGCTTGAGAGTTGGGGGAGCAGTAAGGGAATCTGTGGTTGGATTCTTCTCCAGGCAGAGAGCCAGACTCAGCTGAAAGATTTCCATGCCGGGGAGACGGCGGCTGAGTGGAGCAGAGCTTTTCACGCCGCCTTAATAAACTCAGCTCCGTAGGGAAGGGAAGGTGTAGGAGACCTGGAAGCGGGGTAAAAGGCAGCTCGCAGCGCTCTGAGCACTTCGCTCTCCCCTTGTTTTGCGCCCAGGACCTTCTCAAGCATCCCGGGCACGTCAGTGGTTAGTTTGGGGGTGGGGATGGGGGTGGGGGTGGAGAAACTGCTAACATTTTGTAGATGAAAATTCTGCTCCCCAAGGATTCTCGCTGAAGTGCTGGGGGAGGCGGGGCAAGGGACGAAACCAGGACGCCCAGGAGGCTGAGATGCTCTCAGGCTTGGGTGCTCGGGGTTGGGTGTCGGAGGAGGTGGGGTGAGGGCAGCGCGCAGAAATAGGGCTTCGGGAGGCGGAGCGCCCCCAGCCACCAGCACAGTCTTCTGCCCGGAGCCGGTTCCGAGGGAGGCTGGGGTGGTGCAGTGCGGGACGCCCGCAGGGATCCTTACTCCCCAAGGGCCTCCGTGGGTCACCCGCTGAATTGTCGCGATCGCAACCCAGAGGAAATCAGGCACCGGGTGGGGCGCGTCCCCCGGCGCCGTGGGGTCACCCCAGCTCGCCTCTCCTGGCTGGTGTTACCAGCTCTGCGTGCGCTGCTGTGGCTTCCGCGCCGGTCTGCGCCTCCAGCGGAGAAAGAGTTAATCGGCCAGCAAAGGAGGAGCCCAAAAGGAAGGAGGGAAATTGCCGTCGTTGTGATACTTTTTCCTTCCTCTCTTTTTTCCCCTGCAGAGGTGAGTGCCGGGAGGCGGCGCTCATTCTCCCGGGCCGGGCTCTGCGCCTTTGCTCCGCGAGCTGCGGCCCGACTGGCTGACTGCCTGGGGCCAGGGACAGCCATCCCGCCCGGACCTCCGCCGGGACCCCTTCCGAAAGGTGCGCACAGCCATGGAGGGCGCAGGGCTGGCCGGGAAGATCCTTTTCACCTCTCGGACGCTGGTGCTCGGCCTCATCCTCCTGCCTTCGGCCTTCGGGGTGTCTTTGGGCATCTCCAACATGCACAAGAAGTTCCTGGTGAAAACTTAGAGGTGAGCGCCTGCAGGGATGCGGCGTCCTCGCACCTCCCGGGGCTTCAGGGAGAGCCCGGTGGTGGGGGTAGGGTTGAGGCCGAGGGTAGAACTCAGTTTAGGGGGGACCAGTTCTGAAGGTCAGTGGTCGGCCGGGGTGTGCGTTTCTGTTTATCCTCCGCAGTAGCGCAAAGACAGCTTCTGCAGAGCTGGACAAATCGGACCACCCTATTGTTCCTCTTCTTGGAGGCAGATGCTCAATGCAGATGCTCTTAAGTGGCCTCAGGGCATGGTGTTTTCCAATAGGGTTTGTCAACTGTTTTCCCCCCAGACAAGGCTATGTGGGAAAGATGTCCTCCACTGCATAAGGGAATGACTCAGCCCAGGAAACTTGGGGTGTCTGCCTTCTGAGTTCTATCCCCAGAGTCCCCAGTCCTGGCTTCTCTCACAGCTCCAGTCCACTTTGTGGGAAAGATGTCCTCCGCTGCATAAGGGAATGACTCAGCCCAGGAAACTTGGGGTGTCTGCCTTCTGAGTTCTATCCCCAGAGTCCCCAGTCCTGGCTTCTCCTCTCACAGCTCCAGTCCACTTTACCCTCCCTCTGCTGGAGCACAAGGTTGGTGGCTCCACGAGGAATTTTGTGTGTTGGCCTTTTAAGAGGGTGCCTGAACTTGCAGCTGTTACCTCCATGCAGACAGTACCCCGCTATTTCCACAGTTAGATGTTATGTGGATACCCTTCTCAGTTTTGGTGCTCTCTGCTGGGGGCGGGAGGGGGGGCAGTTGGGGGTTAGATCTCAGAGTTTTCAGTGGCACCCCCCACAGCTGAGATATCTCTCCAGGACTTCAGTTGCTGTCTATGGGCACCCGGCTGGCCAGCCCTTTTACACCTCATCCTCCTACCAGTCTCTATGTGGTTTCCACTTTTGGTCCTTGGGTATCAGGGTTCTCTATTACGAGTTTTCCGTTGATTATTCAGTAAGTTTTTCTGTATTTTAGTTGTAATTCCAGTTTGTTCCCGGGAGCATGTCTGTGCAGCATCCACTTACTCTGCTGCCGTTCTTAATCTCTAAGAACAGTGATTTAAAATGGAATAAAACTCCACTGATAATTTTCATCTTTAACGTTCCTTTCACAGTGAATAAATTCAAAAATTCTTCCCAAGGGAGCTACTGATTTTTCATGATGTCTATATGGAAATGTTTTTCACATTATCTTGAAAACATGATATGAATTTATTTAAATAGATTATTATAAAAGTGAGAAAACAAAACCCTCCTAGGTATGCAAAATTTATGTCAAAGTCGGGAATAAAATGCGCTGATATTTTAGGCCACCAAAATGAAATCACATGCCTGAAAAATAAATATTGATGCATACATATAGTGGTTCATTCAAAAGCATTTTAAAATCCAGGTGATATATATTTTTAAAAAGAATAAACTATTTGAATATTTAACTTAATTGACTATTAAGAAAACTTTTCAGCCCTAGCTGCTTTGGCTCAGTGGATAGATCATCAGTCTGCGGAATTGTCCTGGGTTCGATTCCCTGGTCAGGAGAGTGCAGGAGGCGGTTGATCAATGATTCTCTCTCATCATTGATGTTTCTATCTCTCTCTCCTTCTCCCTTCTTCTCTGAAATCAATAAAAATATTTTTTTTTAAAAAGAAAACTTTACATAACAAAGCTTACAGAGTATTTTTTAATTAAAAGAATAAAAATATTGGAATAGTCATTATCTGTCTCAATTTAAAATAACCAAATGAGTGCTTAAATTGAATCTAGATAACATGAGACATGATTAGGGTAGATTCCCATTCACATAAAATGACTTCCAGGCAGATTCCCCAGCACTTAGCACTCCTTCCGCTGAGCCGATGCAAGGATGGAAACTGCTGAGGGATGATGAAAAGCCTTCTTGCAGAGAGCTCCTTCATTCATTTCTTCATTCCACAAATAATTGCTGCGCTCACTTTATGGCAGGCATGTCCTCATAATGAGGAACACAGAGATGAACCAGACAGACCAGGTCCTAGCCCTTGTGGGACTTCTGCTCTAGTGTGAGAAAACAGACAAGGGAGAGGGGAAGGAGAAAGGGGGAAAAAAAGAGAGAAAAGGAAGATCAAATGTTTTAGGTGCTGAGGAGAGGATTAAAGTAAGACGATAGATGGTGTGACTGGAGGACTCTAGATTGGGTGGTGAGGAAAAGGCTGTCTCAGATGAAACACCGAAGCTCTGAATGTCAAGTCATTAATGCTAACATCAAAGGGAGGAACATTCAGGCAAGAGGGACTATGTGCTCAGGAAATATACTAAATTTAAGATAAGCCCAAACGAAATATAATTAACAGAATAATTTTGTGCCTTCACTAAATAAGCTTTCAAAAACCTTTTCTTTCCCTTATTCATATCTCTGTTAAATGGACTATTCAGAGTCCAATGTTGAGAAATATAGCTCAGCAGCAAACACAGACAACTGAGAAATATTAGCGGCTGAATGGAATAGTCACTTCTGATAGTGACTAATGTGCCATTCTTCCTAGACAGGAATCCTACCTCTTCCTGATATCAGAGTAGGAAAGAAGAAAAAAACAGCCCCAAACCAAGAAACCAAACCCAACCTAAAACATCCCACCTCACCCCAAATAGAAATAACCCATTTTATTTACCAACTTCATCAGTGAGAGACGAGATTGACATCAGGGTATGAAGTCATTATATTCCACATTAATTGCAGCAAAAGAGCAGAGAAGAGGTGAGACTTTGGAAAGAATGCTCAAAGAACTACACCCTTCCTCCTTGATTGTTTACATCAGACTTGCAATCAAATACTAAACATATACCAGCTATAAATTGTTTGACCAACTCACCTGCTCTGGAGTGAATTGTGTCATGCCCAAATTCATGTGTTAAAGCCCCAACCCCTTCATGAGATTGTGTTGGAGATGGGACTTTTCAGGAGATTGAGGTTAAATGAGGTCATAAGGGTAGAATCCTGATCTAATAGGACTGGTCCTCTTATAAGAATAGGAAGAGACACCTGAGCTGGGCTCTCTCCCTGCCATATGAGGACACAGTGAAAAGCAGCTGGAAGACAGTCTTCACCAGAACCAAACCATCCCAGTACTTTCATCTTGGACTTCCAGCCTCCAGAACTATGAGAAATAAACATCTGTGTGTAAGCCACCCAGTCCATGGTATTTTGTATGGCAGCCCAAGTAGACTAACAGGTTACCTTACCTATAGGGGGCACAGAGATGGTGTAGTAAAAGGGAACCGCCCCCCCACCCCCCCCCCCCCCCCAGCCCCAAATTGGTATTAGAAAAGATGAGATTGTGGTGTTTCGAGGATTTAGTGTAGAATTTAAAAAAAAAAAAACACCTCTATTTTTTTATAACTGTGAATTAATATATTGATATATTGTTTAAACCAAAAGTTTAGTAATATTTTAAAAGATCTTTTACATTTATAGCAGGCCATTTGAAATGTTCATTGACTAAATGAATGAATATATGAAAATGATACCACTGACCCCATAATTTACATTTTTCTCCCTGGTATTGAGGTTATCTTTATGTTTGACCAAGACTGGGCCCCTATTTAGTAGGTGGGTGTCAGCTACACCCTCCCCCAAACAAGTTCAGGGCTGTAGGATGACTTAGGGGGCTCTAGACCACTGCCTTCATGGGTCCCCTCCTCTATTAAAAATTAAAAATTATATATTTTAGAATGCCATTCTTATTGTTTTATTTTTTAAATGTAATATTTAAAAAATTATTTTACTGTTGAGAGTATTACAGATGTCCCCCATTTCCCCCCCTTTTGCCCCCCTCCATCCATTTTCCACCCCATCCCAGGCCTTCGCCTGTCTATTGTCTGTGTCCATGAGCTAATTTGTACTTCTAAATCCTGTCACCTTTTTCACCTATCCCCCCAACTCTTCTCCCATCTGGCAACCATTAAAATGTTCTCTGTATCTATGAGTCTGTTTCTGTTTTGCTTGTTCATTTATTTTGATTTTTAGATTCAATAGTTGATATATATATATATCAACTATTCGTGCACTGGGGGGTGTGGGGGTCCCTCAGCCCGACCTGCACCCTCTCCAATATGGGAGCCCTCAGGGGAGCCCTCTTCAATCCAGAAGTTTCTGTCTGTCTTTGCAATCATATGAGCGAATTGTCTGAGACCCCAACTCAGTTTGGTTTATTGCTCACAGAATAATAGAGGCATTTTTTTCTTCTTGCTTCATTGGTAGAGATTTCCTGGAAGTTTTAGGATATCTTCCCTTCAATTTTTCCTAGACACTCTAATTTTACTTATGTCTCTCACCTTTGCTTTTCCTCCATCCCCCACTGCAACAGTAACTTGCTCCAGGGTCACTTTGCTCTTTGTAGCCGTGGGTAAACTACGGCCCACGCCCTTTTATGTAATGATGTTTATTTTGAATTTATATTAGTTCACACAAACACTCCATCCATGCTTTTGTTCCGGCCCTCCGGTCCAGTTTAAGAACCCATTGTGGCCCTCGAGTCAAAAAGTTTTCCCACCCCTGGTCTAGGAGATCCGTCTGCCACCAGAATTATGATTTCCAGCATTCCTGGTGCTCCCCGTGATCTTGGTTTTCCCTTCCTGCTCTGACTGTGTCCCATGGCCTCCCACTCTGCCAAGTCCTCCAAGTTGCCAGCTCTCCGTCTCTGCTCTTCGTCTGGTGGCTTGGGGAGCCAATTTCCCCAAGCCGCTCCACTCTCTGCTGGCTCTCCCACTCTGCTCTCTGCCCAGCGCCTGTGTATGCAAATTAACCTGTCATCTTTGTTGGGTTAATTTGCATACTCACCCCTGATTGGCTGGTGAGCATAGTGGAAGGACAGTCAATTTACATGTTTCTCTTTTATTATATAGGATTCCATTTTATTGTTCATATTTTTATCTTTTTTTTCCTTCTACTTCTTCTTCAAGAAGACCCTTTAACATTTCATGTAATATTGGTTTGGTGGTGATGAACTCCTGTAGCATTTTC